TAGAAAGCAATATCTATCTGTCTTTCATACTGCAGGATCCCCAAAGGTCAGTGTCCTGCAATCCTCTTCTCTCTCCCTCTTTTATGTTCTTTCCTTTCCTTCTCCTTATCTTTCTATCTACTTTTCTGGCTTGGCTCCTGTAGTCTCAACTCTTCTTTCCACCAATTTTCTCCTCTTATCTTTTCGTTTACCTTCTATTCTCTTCCTTCCTTTCTATTTTTGTTCTTTCAGTCTACTGTAAAAACTGTGTTGGCGCCATAGTTCCTTTCCTCTATCTTTGTTCACCGTTGTTTTTTATCATTATTTTCCTTCCTTGAGAAGGCATGCTAGCGCGCATGAACTTTCAATTCAGGACACCAATTTACAAAAGAAAAGCCACAGCTACAGAGTTTGTATCTTCATCTTAGCTATATCCTTCACAAACTACTGAAACCTCATATCATCTCAACTATTGATGTGCTAACACCCGAGGGTGCTAACGTAAAAAAGCAAACACTGGCCTTAGTCCGTTACTGATTCATTTTCGTCCGGCTAGCTCTCCCAATGCAATCTTAACAACACCGGTTGATACTGCGTCACTTCATTCACAAAGGGATTAGAACTGGCTGCTCCGTTTCTTACAATGGTTATTCAGAAGGGTTCTAACAATCCAGTCTTGATGTCTTTCTCTTAACCTGTCCTTTGCACCTAACCAATCTTGCTTCATCTCTTTCGAATCTTGTTTTCTTCTTCTTCCGACAGACACCACCTAAAGGACTATGTAGGATGCAAGGTCGACCCGTTTAGATAGGTCAGTCCTTCAATTTCTACCTTTCGCTTCTCTCCATTGATTTTCTTGGTGCCACAGTAAAACCAACCCTTGCATTAGCCACAATTCAACATGGTTCCTAAAGTATAACTCAGGCCACTTCTTGTTCTGGAAGCTTTTGACTACATGTACCTAGTTTCTCTCTGAACACTCCAGCTGAAATTTGAATTGCAAGTTCGAGAACGAATCATTAGTCCGCACTTCATCCAACCCATTGTTCCATTTAGCAACTCGCGGATTCACTTTCACCAATACCGACCCTACACGTTGACTCCTAACATATCTGTAGCATACTTTAAGTCTTCACATGAACTACGCAAAACCACTCTCCTCATGAAAGCAAATACGTAAATTTAAAAAAATGTCGCTATTCGTGTAAAAAATACTCAATTATTTCCTCCATTTAAGTTCCTCGTGCATAGTAAAGTGCATCCAGTTGATCATTAAATAAGTTAAAGCCCTCTCAATTTCGATTTAAAGATGGATTGGTATTCTTTAGTAAAATAAACTGCATTTGAATCATGAAATAAGACACCCTCTCGTTGAAACCACCATCACAATTCTCTTAAGCATTTGCCATAGCCTTACAACCTCTAAACTTATCATTATTATTATTTTTAAATTTAACTACTATGTTGTCCAAAGTTTAAAGTCGTAAGGGATTTAAAAGGTATCTTTTGCTTATTAAAATCATTTTGTAAACTGCTTACAGAGATAAGACAGAAAGAATCTTACAAACTACCAGTATTCATCAGAAATAAATGTCAATTTGTAAACGCTTTTTTGATAGACGATTCCTTCGTGCACTTACTGAGGGGTTGTCACTAAATGGCATGCCTCGTAGGTAGGTAAATACCTCGCTTTCCCTAATCCTTTATAATTACTAACCCTAATAGTAACCACTACTCAACTGCAAATACTAAATTGTTACAATTTGACTGAAGTATTAAAAACTGAATTTCAACCGATAAAACCTACCTACGAGATATCCCAAATCCATAGTGAAACCCTGTAAACTATGACCCTGTTGACTAATGACCTAAAAACCCTAGAACATAACTAAAGTGATTCGATTTATCTGAGCAATTTTCAATTGAGTGTCGAAATTAATTCGGCGTTGCTTTCTTTTTGCTTTACGTCATTCTGTGATTGGTCCAGAAAAATCGCGTCACTCTCTCAACCAATCAAATGCAAACTAAAACCAATCACAACTAGGTCACCCACGTTTTCCCGCGCTTTGGGCAGAATGCTTGTTTTCACTTCAAGATCTAATTGGCTGTTTATGGTATTTTTCTTTCTTCTAATTGGACATCGTGATAAGTTTTGTTGTTGAATTACGACACTCAATCGAAAAGCGCTTTAAAAGTACAAGTAATTAGGGTCGTTGAGCTTAAAACATTGATTAATAACTCACTGCAATAAGAAGATCTTAAAATCAAAGTTCGCAATAAAAACTTCTCTGGCTATAACAACAAGATGTAATCACAACATTCAGGTGTTACTGAGTAAAATTAAGGATCGAGAAATGAACCCTCCAAATTACTTGCTAATAAATGTTGTTTGCGTTTTACAGATGAAAGTACAAGGCCATTACAGAGTAGAAGACGTCCAACATTACAGGAAGTGAGATTAAAAAATTACTTTAACTCCGTGGAGTCCTCGTCGTGTGCATCGTGTGACCACGTGAAAATTTACTGTGTGCAGGAGACAGTCACGTGATCGTACAATAGCCTGTCATCAAACTGACACTTGCCGGACAAAATCAGAGTAGGACACTTGTCTGATCCAGAGTGTACATCACAAGTCAAGTCTACGACATAACACAGTTTTAAGATGAAGTTTGGTTCTGTTTTTAAAAACGAAGCATTATGTAAAATCTCAATCATAAGCTTAATTTTCATCGAAAGAAATTTCGGAATAAAGCTGTACTTGACCACGCTGGTTTTTCAGCAAGCTTCGCTTTAAAACGGAGCCAAAACTTAGCTCGTGAAGGCATTGTCAAAATGTGTCTTTCGTTGTTCTTTTCGTCAAGACAGTCATTGTTAGGAGGAATTTTCGGCGATTCAAAGGAATTGACACGTTATTTCACACAATCAGGCGACTCTAAACTAAAGACATAAACTATGAGGGTATTCAAATTTGCTTTAAAAAACAAACTCAAGGGTAAAAATAAGTTATTAAGATTATGAGCACTTATTAGACACAATATAATTTTAAAAACGTAATATTACTGTTACTAGAGCGAGTTTTAAATAGTGTCAAAATTAATCCGAAATTATGTGGGTTCTGCTAGTTCTCCTTTACTGCATTGACTTTTTGACCAATCAAAAAGCAACTAAACTGACCGTGACTTAGTCAGGCATTTTCCCGCGTCTTAACAGGTCACGTAAATTGAAGCGGTTCTAACCGTCCGAATGTATTGCTTCAACACAAGGATCTGCCCTAATGTTAAGAAACTTTACTCAAAAGTGCTCTTTTGCAAAAACAAAACTAAATATGTGGGTAAAAAGCTAAAATGCTGAGATTTATCTTTCCAGTTGGAATGTTTAAAAGAAGTTATCTAGTTCAGATGAAATTATTTCCTAGGAAAGTTGTCCTAGCTGTATAGTATAAATATATATATATTACATAAATATGATAATCTTGTATGGATCATTTTAAGATTTTCTCCTTATTAACAAGGACCGAGTGGCGAAATTTTCATTGCCTTTCCATACTCCACTGGCTGGTTTAAAATTCTTAAGTTTTCTAATTAACCTTTTACAATTATATTAGATTTCGTCCAGTTGTTGTTTTTTTCTAGTCTCTCAGTACAACTTACAGTTTCCTCAAGTTTATGGAAAATTTTTTTCCTTGGGAACGCACGAGAGCGAATACAACAGTTGACAAACAAAGTAAGGTGTATCTCGGGTAATTCTAAATCTGCCGTAATTCGATTCGCATCTCTCCCTGTTGGCCGTTATATATTTTTCTTGTAAGTCTGGAAGTAATGTTTGGTTTTCACATCAAGAATAAGTACATTCATTTCTCTTGCTTGTTTTCTGGGTAATTCAATACCATAAGTAGTGGTTAGATTTCCTTAACATTTCTAACAATTTATGGGGTCTTACAACCATTGTTGGACCATAGTAACGTATTCGTAGTAACAAAGTAATCGCGCTCAGTCGATTGTAAATAAGGAAATGATTGGTTTGCAATATGTTTGAGGCAAAAAAAAATTGTTGTAGAAGCAACGTGGTCGTGTAATTAAGAATTACCGTGAGGCGAAGCTTCCTGCTTCGCGCAAAACGTCATTCTCTGACAGCTAGAGCGAAAACTCTGTAGTTTATTGGCTTAACTATGTCCCACGGCTTGCCTCATTCCTATAATATACAGACACTTGTGTTAACTAACGCGTGTAACAACTATGTCAATGGTAGCCCCCACAGAACCTCTTTGCTCTTCACAAGACTACACTGGTTCATTTGTGATCAAGTTTTTTATCACTGTAGCTACAGAATATTATCAGTTAGGCGTACTTTGCGCATGTTACCAAAAAAATTAAACTTATTGCAGATTTAAGCTTTGCGAGACAATTGAATTGAACCAAATTAATTTAAAGAAAATAATGAATTAGCCAGATCAGCTGACTTGAGGAAGAATTAAAAACTGCATTGTTGGTGACTATTTGGTTTCTCTTTGACCATGGTTACGTTTTTTCGTGTTTTCTTCATAATGAAAATATGTGGTTTCAACAAAACAGAAAATGCGATAAGTATCCTTAGAGAGATTTCAAAGTAAAACGAAGTAAGAGAGAACGTTCGTGTCCTAACATTTTAACTTCACCTGTACCCACCTCGACGCTGTCTTAACCCTAAGAACGCAAAGCTCCTGGCTGAAGACAATGTGATACCAAAGAAGACGCTGGTTAAAGTAAATCTCAGTAAATCGTCATGGCACACATTCAAGTTTTTCCGATAATTATTTACCAGGTCAAAGCTTCCTAGTCATGCAGCCTAGTAGCTAGTAGGTTCATTGAGTTTGAAGTATTCGCACTGAGCTCAATCTGTGCTCTGATCTATTAAAACTACATGAATAAGTCCTACATGACCCAAGGATGTTGCCAACTTTGGAGATGGTTTATTCCAGGCAGCACAATTCATGAACGTTAGTGTTCCTTAGGTGACATGAACAACAACATACGCAGTAAAGATAAACTGAAAAAACGAAAGCAGCTTTATTATTTACAATCGTTACAATAAATAACTTGGCAAAACATCAAAGAATTTTCTCAAGAAAATTCAGTATATATTAAGTACCAAAAAGAATGTCTATTAGTAAATCTGTCATCTCGCAAGTAAGAAATCTACAGAAAGTTCTGAGAGCGTATAAAAGTATTCATCAACATTTGCATGAACATTAGATATATATCCAAGACAAAAAGAACCACGACAGTTCGGGACATCAAAGTTCAATAAAATAATCTGAAAGGGAAAAAAAACAAACACCATTGTCAATGGAGCTGAATATATTAAGAACGCTCGGGTAACAAACGTTTTAAGAAAACCAAGAGACACTAACTGAATTTACGGAGCTGGGAGGCGGTTTTCGCCTCAGCTAATAACTAGTGCATAAAGGAAAAATGACTCTAAAGAAACTGTGGTGCTACGTCTCTGGGGGATATTACAAAACAATTTGGTTTTAGCAACAGAGTTGATCCTGCAAATAGGCCACCGTAAAGAGTTTTTAAAGTCGACATTCCGATCGTTAGACCATCCTCATTCTCTCTGGCGATGGGCTAAGTTGAGAAAAACCAAATTATTTTGTAATGGCTTATGCGTTATTTTAGGATACAATTAGCAAATACGGGTCACCAGAATCAAATTCAAACCAACCATGAAATCACCCCTCGCGTTTTCTCGCGCTCAGGGCAGTTTCTTGCTCGTACTAAGTTTTCGTTGGCTTCTGGCTACCTGCGATCTGCGTTTCCTCGCGCTCAAGACAGTTTCTTGTTCGTACTAAGAGTTCCCCTTGGCTCCCAGCTACCTGTGATCTGCGTTTTCTCGCCCTCAAGACAGTTTTTTTGCCCGTACTAAGAATTTTCCTTGGCTTCTAGCTACCTGCGATCTGCGTTTTCTCGAGCTCAAGACAGTTTCTTGTTCGTACTAAGAGATCCCCTTGGCTCCCCGCTACCTGCGATTAGTTTAGTCGTTGTGATTACTTTGGTTTCGGTTTGACGACATCTAATTTAAAAGCGCTCTATTTTGAACCCTCAAAAGTTCAAAAGAGAAAAAAATGAATTGCTTCATAAACATACCAGATAAATAAGAATCATCTTGTTTACGACAGAATTTGAACTTCAACAGTACCCGCACTGTAACCTTTCTGCTCAAAGAGAAAAAAAAAGGAGTAAGGTTTTCATATTTAGAATTTGGTTTTATAAAACCAACAAAAGGAAATACCACAAGAAGAAAACGACACTTACCACCAAAACTTGGAGCTTTTTGTTTCTTCTCACGAGTTTGGCGATTCGACTCTTTTCCTAAAAAGAAATGAAAACAGCTCAATGGCCACATCATCACCTAGTTAGAAGACGAGGTAGCCGAAAAAAGCCGATTTGGGACACACCAATAGCCCCGAACGCAGCCGACAACAGCCGAATATAACTTGTCCAGCCGAATGCATTCGAATGAAGCCGAAAATAACAGATCTACGGAGTGGCGATGCAGGTCAGTTCTATTACGAACGAGCAATAAGAGAACTAAGAGCGTCATCTTCTGACAACAAAAGCCTTTTAAGATTTTCAGTAATTTAACGTTGCCCCATGGACCGCTACTCACCTAGCTACCTTTACAAAACGTTAAATAACAAAAAATGTCTCGTACCTTCTTGTTAGCAGAATTTGAGTACACTATGCAGCACTCAAAAGCCTTCAGTGGATATAAGAAAAAACGAAACGGTTATTTAGTATATTAATTCTAGGCATTTTTTTGTGTAAATTTAGTAAATTAATTCTAAATATATTTTTGTGCGCAGTTTCCAATTTAAGTAAATTGCACACCGTATCTTGTCAACACAGCCCCTTCATATTTGCTCTAACAAAACAAATATGCAACATGTCCATGACTGACCTGTGCAGGAGGAGACGTGTAAAACTTATCATCAAGCACCCTCAGTGCTCTTTGATTCACTTCCCACACATCACCAATGTCCAGAAGTCGAACGCAAATCTGAAGATAACAAATAAATAGGTAATTTTATAGAAAATTATTATTTTTTCTCAACTTGCAGCTATTCAAATTGTCCGTTACAAATCAAGACTTAAACAGGGAAACCAATTTACCTTCCCCTTGTCCAGAGTTTTCTCTACAAGAGCTCGGTACCAGTATCCATCTCGGCCCTTCACGGCACACTGCTTATATATAAATATCTCACTTGGGTCAAGGGTTTTGTTTCTGGCTTCTATGTGGGTCCTGTCAGAAAATAGCTGCTTCATTAATAACACTCTTTCACTGCTAAACGAACTCGATCAAGAGACGAGGAAGCTGACTGAGTCCTCCACATAAACCTCTATTGAAGGGGAATCATCTACTTAAGACCCTACATATCTTTCGTGAATAATGCTGCGCGCATTTCGTGTGGTGCTCCGTCATTCCTTTGGACTCATTTTCGCATGGGCGTCCGAAGAAGGCTTGGGAAATAGGAAAGACGCTACTCCCTGAGAAACGGAACAAAACACAGAACTGCATGGACGCGTTTGAAAAACCCTAGCACGGAAAATGCTTACCCCATGCGCACCATGGCATCCACGAAGGCATCTTCCTCCTTCCTTGCCCGAGTAACTTTAGCCCAAAAAGTGCCACTGTCTGTCAAGTTCTCTTGAACTATAATAGAATGTTCTTTTCCTATAATAAAGACAAAACGTATAAACATGTATCTAGGACACAATTCTTTTTTTCCTAGTTCAGATACAATCGTTTCGCATTGAAAAGTGGCACACATCAATCCTATGAGCTTCTTTGATGGGCTTTCCACGTATAACACTTGCTTAGGTATTGAGGTATTTGCCAAACTCTCACAACCACCCCCCCCTCACCCCCCCCACCCCTCCTTCCTCGGTTCGAAGATGCCCATACGCCTATGTTTACGACAAGGGTGGTACTCTCAGGCCCGTTTAAAATTTTAAAACTCATGTAAAAAGTTACAAGGCTGTGACTTCCAAACCTATCTCAAGGGGTACGTAGTCAGATATCACTAATTCCTCTGAGCTCTCTTGAGACAGTAGTTCTGGTGACAACAAGCACCCTGAGGCCACTTCTAGACACGAGTCGCTATCAGTCATTCCTGCAATGCCTGGTGCGTCATCTGACCTACCTGCGACAGTAACAAACTAATTGTTGATGCAGAGTTACATTTATTTAATACCAATTACCGTGTTGCCGGTGAAGGCGACATATGCCTCAAGCGTGCAGCTTGACAGCAATGATGCAAAAAAAGGCAGAAAAGGAAATGATATGCAGTTTTAGCGTTTTATCACAATTACTTCAATTTAGAAGGCTACGCAACTCTTTACCTATTCCGTGATACATATTGAGTAGCCTAACAATGTGTGCAGGTGTAAAACAAAATAAAGATATGACACTCTCCCGTTTTGTTAAGAAGAACACTCAGGTTTAGATTAGATTGATAGCTATCGATTCCTAGAACACGACAGAAATCGAGAGCGAATAACCTATTTGTTAAGTAGAAAGATATTTGTTATAAAATTTAAAAATTCATTTTAAAAAACCACAAGGCTGTGACTATGAAATGAGATCCAACACATTTAAAAAGAAAAATTTTAGAAAGGAAATGTAAAAACGTTTGTTTGACCCATCGCTCATCACCTTCCACGACTAATGATCATATCTCTAGTTGCTTCAAATATTGTTGAAGCTTGTGCGCAAGAAGCTCGTGTGATGTAATTTTTTTTGTGGGTAGAGCACTGTCAGTACACTACCCATTGTCGTCGTCAGCTGTGAGTGAGTAATTGAGATTAAGAAAGAAGGCCCGTAAAGCATACATGAATAACGACATCATGGTTAACATCAAAACTCTATGGTACACTCCACAAACCGTTCTTGAAGCAATGGATAACCCTTCACCACACGAGCCCAAAGGAACATAACGAACTGAACGCACTGCATTTCCTAGAATTAATTTCATTCTTGAAACAAAAGAAATTGATATCATTAAAAAACTCTTCTCACCATTAGCCGCAGAGGTTGTCTGAATCAGCATCGAATTGGTGGGTCCTCCAGGTTCCAGATCACTTGAACCACCGGGGTACTCTGCCATTTCGTCCTTAAGGCTGTTTTTGAAATGAGTCTCTTCATTGCCTTCGCTAAAGGGCGGCGGCTGGGCTAATGAGTCTATGTCAAGACTTGTTTTGGAGGGTGTTCCAGTTTCCCAGTCACTCCCGCCAGAGGGCCCGACCGCAGTTCCTTCAACAAGACTTGTTTTAGAAGGAGTGCCAGTCTCCCAGTCACTCCCACCTGCGAACTGAGATGCTGATTCTTCGTCAAGACTTGTTCTGGACATAGATGGCACAACTCCTGTTTGTTCTTGGGGAAGAGTCTTATCAAGAATTCCTGTTTCCAAGTCACTTGTGGTATTTGGTGGTGCCAATGTATTAACTCTTTCACCTGTCATGGGTGATGTTTCCAGAGAACGTATGGCAGAGGACTTAACTGCTGTTTCCGTTTCAACGCAAGTCTTGGAAAGAGAACTTGACGTACTGTTTGGTCCCCCTACACTCCTCTCAAGACTTGTTTCGGAGGGTTTTCTAACCTCCCAATCACTCCCATCATTGGAAAGAACAGTTTTACCTTCTATAAGACTTGTTTTGGAAGGCGTTCTAGTCTCCCAGTCACTTCCATCATTCGACGGGACAGTTTTCACTTCTTCAAGACTTGTTTTGGAAGGCGTTCTAGTCTCCCAGTCACTTCCATCATTCGACGGGACAGTTTTCACTTCTTTAAGACTTGTTTTGGAAGGCGTTCTAGTCTCCCAGTCACTTCCATCATTAGATGGGACAGTTTCCGCTCCTTTAAGACTTGTACTGGAAGGCGTTCTAGTCTCCCAGTCACTTCCATCATTCGACGGGACAGTTTCCGCTTCTTTAAGACTTGTTTTGGAAGGCGTTCTAGTCTCCCAGTCACTTCCATCATTAGATGGAATGGTTTCCGCTTCTTTAAGACTTGTTTTGGAAGGCGTTCTAGTCTCCCAGTCACTTCCATCATTCGACGGGACAGTTTTCACTTCTTCAAGACTTGTTTTGGAAGGCGTTCTAGTCTCCCAGTCACTTCCATCACTAGACGGGACAGTTTCCGCTCCTTTAAGACTTGTTTTGGAAGGCGTTCTAGTCTCCCAGTCACTTCCATCACTAGACGGGACAGTTTCCGCTCCTTTAAGACTTGTTTTGGAAGGCGTTCCAATTTCCCAGTCACTTCCATCATTAGATGGAATGGTTTCCTCTTCTTTAAGACTTGTTTTGGAAGGCGTTCTAGTCTCCCAGTCACTCCCATCATTGGACGGGACAGTTTCTGCTTCCTCAAGAATTGCCTTGGAAAGCGTTTTACTTGCCCAATCAGTTGGGTCACCGGGAACTTCAGCCGTTTCCTCAGCAAGACTTTTCTCGGAAGAGGAACGATTCTTGACACTGGATCTAAAGTGAGCACGAATGTTGTTTTTACTTAACGAGTCCCTGTTTTCCGTGGGAATTTCCTTTTCACTTTTCAAGGGCTGAGAGGTTAGATCATTGGCCACTGCAATGTCTTTATTTTTAATACTGCCATCAGGTTCCTTATCAGTAGAGATGGCGTCCTTCCCAATTTCGATTTGATCAGCACCCTGGTGACTGTCAAGAGCATGACTAAGTCCATCATCACTGATATGTGTGGCATCGATAGATAAGTTTTCACAGCCACCGCTGTGAAACTCAGCAGATGCATCTGTTTTGTCTTTATCAGTACCTGACCTTTCAGAAGTTTTCAGGCTGTCTTCAATCTGATAAGAAAGTACAATAATGAGCCTTAGTCTATAATGACACAAACAAAAACTCTAAGTGTTTGGAATCAAACCAGTTTTCTCGGCATTACCAATCCCTACTACCGAACTATGGGTGCTTGTGGTGAGTTAGACAGTACAACGGAAAACAAGTTAATAAAAACAAGACCTTGGAAATTATCACAGAAATTTGTTACTATAAGTTCAATTCCCAACAAAAATTTATTCAAGGCTGGTACCATTCTATACAGTCTTGTTCTTTTGATAGTCCATTTTGCATTTGGGAAAAAAAGTAAACATGTGAAAAAAAACTAGACAGACATTTTATGATGACAGTTTGTCACTTGAGAGAGAAGCACTCGACTTTTGATGATCCCGAAGTTAGAGAATGTCCGTATTCTACTCATTTGTGCGAGTAAGTAGTCTGAGTTTGTGTAATGGCATTATTAAAGAGGTAAAGAGCATTAAGTTACAGATTCTTATTATCCTACGACATCTAGTTCGCTGCTTGTACATGCATGTCCATAGGGTCAAAGAGGCTAAACTACATGAAAGTCTCAAGAAATAAGTGAACCGGACAAAATAAACAACGATTTGTAGGTCGGTCCAAATAAAAGAAACATCATCCTAGCCAAACATGTTGTCCCTTTTCCAGCGTTTTGAGCACTTTAGGCAGTGCAAGCCACTCATGTTTAAGTACATGTATGTACTTACTTCTTGGTCCCAGTCTTCTTGAGATGCTGGTGAATCATCGCTCAACTCTTCTCTAGTAACTCTCCACCAAGGCAGCTCAGTATCACTCCTTGGCTGTTTCTCTTTTTGATCATCTAAGTATGACTGGTGAGTTTTGATAGCATGTTGCAAAATAGAGTTGAAGTAAGTGATACTTTCATAAGCCTTCACAATGCTCCGTCCCACATCATTAGCAATTTCCAAGCCGTCTGCAGCATCCATGAGATATCTGACAGAGAAACGACTTTCAGGTTTAAACTTTATATCCTTAAATTGAAGGTTGTTTGCATATATCCACCTAATGTCGCATCTCCCAATCATCTTTCCACCAAATTTAAATGGCTCATTAAGCATAGGACAGCTCTGTGTCGGGTCAACAGACGTTAACATTTCAGCCAAACCGCAGAAGTTGACGAATTTATGTCCCGCAAACAGGAGGAACACTGAACCCCTGCCGCCTCCATTTCTCACACTGTTGAAGGCAATATTTAAGCTTCTGTTGGTTTTCATATTCGAACACCAAACATCAAACTTCATGGCTTCGATGATTCGCCTGGGGTCTGATTTGATCATTACAAAACGAGCATATGTTAGTTCCTCCATGCCAATCATATTCACAGAGCATTTGTTCAAGATGTAGTTGTACATTGCCACATCAACACCGCCAACAGGTAAGTGGTTATCTGGCACTGTGTTGCGATAATGCTCGATTGGAAACACTTTAGTGCCTCCTTCTTCCAGATGCCTTGAGACAGATGCTTTATTGACCACAAGCACAGAAGCAGGCACATCGCTGACCTGATTCTCAAAGGTCTGTAACTTTGTAGCTGCGCCCTCAGAGGGAGAAATTTCCTTGACTGAGTGTTCAGGAGTAAGGACGTTTTGGCTTTCAAAACCTGCAACGTTTTCAGGTACATCCTTGAGCTCTAACATCTGATTCTCCTGATGGTCATACACAGGCACATCTTTGGCTTGGAGCTCAGATGCTAGCATTTCATTGGGCAGGTGGTCAGAACTGGGTACATTGTCGACCTTACTCTCAGGCGCAAACAACGCTTTGGAAAATGAATCTTGCGCAGGAAGGTGTAGTATACCTGGGATTCTGGCTTGTTTAGATGCAGGCTGAGCAGATAACTTGTCTGACACTTTAACCCTTTCTGGGGATAGAGGGACAAACTCCTCAGCTTCCGGACGAAGTGCTTGCCTGCCTTCCTTTTTGCTATTAGTGATCTTGGCATCAACCGAAATTTTGTCTTTACAGGTGACATTCTCATCAGAAACACTGTCCTCACTGACTATCTTTGCCATTGTCCCTAAAACGGACACAGCATGTTCATTGTCCATCTCTTGAGCAGCATTGCATGCTGCCCCACTGTCTGCAGTCTGTGCTATATTGGGATTGATTTGAACTACAGGTGCTTCGGCATCTGCCTTTGCTTCTCTTGGCTGAACAGGACGGTTCTGAAGCAAGACAATCAATTACAAACGAGCCATCAAATCTACCGCTGATACACAATTCTTGTAAGAGCTCTGCCTTCATACAAATGAACAATTACCAGGACTACATAGGCATGAAAAGTGGGTCAATGGAAAAAAACCAATTCCACTAATTTGCATATAAGTACTTTTTGATTGTCTGTCTAAATTTATTTAATCTCATAGTTAATTTGAAAAAAAAAAAAAAAAAAAAAAGGTAAAGCAGCCTTTAATTGGCATGTTTGAGACTGTTTACCACTCTATCGTGGTGAACCTCTCAATTCCCAGGGAAAGGAACAAAGTTGACAGTCTGCATTACTAAATGGAGGTAATAAAACTGTAATAGTAATATAAAGTAAATAAAACAAAATTGTACTTATACTATCTTCTATTTGTTGACATTATGTGGGAAAATTCAATGCACATGCATGTGTTTATACTCTCACCTCTACTGCAAGCTTTTGCTCATCCACTAAAATGATGAATACAACAAAAAAACTACACTTCAAACTCTAGTAAAATAGAATTACTACACTTACATTTGAGGAGTTGCCATGCAAGGTTTATTTAGGAACAGTACCTCCTTTATTCTTTCCTAGTTGGATCTTGCTAAAGTTTTTGATAAATTTCCTCAACAATTTATTTCTAGGAGCATAAACTTAAAAAACCTCTTGTATCACAGAACTGATTTTTCAAACTGCTGTTTTACTTATGAGAGTGTCAGGCTGCTCTGAGAGATGAAGTTAAAGACCCTTTTGCATGGTCAGGGAAACTTACATAATCTTTTAATTCATTTTAGAGAAGCAGAAAATCTATCCTAACAAACCTAATTGAGCCACTTTGCTGTTGATACACACAGAATTGTCCCCACAAGTAGACAACAACACATGATAGATCACAGTGCCATTCTTATCAGTGACCTGTTGAATAATAAAAATGAATGAACAAAGTTACAACTTGTAAGTAATTGTGCTTGATGTTTCACCAGCAATTACATGTATATTAAATGTAGAGTAAACTGAGGTGAAAGTAGCCACCCAAAGATGGTAGGCTGCCCAGAAGTTCATACTGGCCTCCAGCTTTTAATGGAAGCTTTACACACTACCCTTCTGAAAAATGAATGCTGAGGACAGATATTACTGACATGCCCTTGTCCTTAAGAAGTGCTACACAATGAGTTATTCACATTCAAAGGCCAAAAACCATATGATGATTCCAGAATGTATTTCCTGAAGAGAAAAACGGTGGAGTTTACTCTGGCAAAGAGTAGCATGAATAAAACTATGCCTTTTTTTCACGCTGCAATCAATTTGACTAAGCTTAATTTAAAAACAAGTGCCAGAAATGAATTGTTTGTAAATCAGTCTTTGTCCTGGTGACAATGGAAAATGGAAAAAAATTTAATGATAAAATTCTTTACAATATTTCCTGCAGTGAAAAGTACTTACCTGGCCTTGAACTGCTGCCATCAATTCTCTGTTGAAGGTCAGATCTTTGAAGCACCACTTTGCCTGCAATAAAAAATTAAAAAAGGTTAAATCTGGCCACTAGCTGCTGTAGCCTTTAGAGGTAATTTTCCATCTCTCTCTAGATAGAGAGCTTTTCCTTTGGAGGAAGCTTCCAAGGAATTCTCCAAGTTCCTCTGGAAGTTTTTTGGTACCCGTTTCAACTCCTGGTGGAGCACTCCTAGAGAACACTGCACAAGAACACAACATGATGACCAACTTGGATGGAAAGATACAGTTGCTGAGAAGTTAATTTATAAAGCAAACCTTATCCCTTCTCCTAATCAAACCTCTGGCTACTAAGCTACAAACAAACCAACAGACAAACTAAAGATCTCCTGTAGCTTTGTGTAAAACTAAATTGAAAATCTGACAGGAATGAAAAAAAATACTGGTTAAACAGTACCAGATTAAGATTAAACAAAAGAGTATGTCAGTACATATGATGTCCATCCTATTAAAGCTGCTTAAGTTATAGGTAAAGATTCAAAGTATTATATATATTTTCCATATTATTGAGAAGCAACCTAAAAAAAGCAACTTTCTCAGGAAATCCCTCATGATTTCCTTCCTTTTTTCAAAATTTTTTTCCTCCAAAATTAGACTTGCTAAACTCAGGGTGTGGCTTATCTGCCTGTGTCACTGATCTCCCTAAGAGGCTTAATTGCCAGTGTGGCTTACATGCCCAACTTAAAGTCGATGCCTACATTGTTAACCCTTCAACTCCCAGATCAAATTTGTAATTCTCCTTACTGTCAACCATACATTTCTTGTAACATTAGTTCAGAAATTTAGTATTGGATCAATCAATTATCCCCAAATTGATCTCTTTCTTTATTCTCATCACTAACTGGTTGATATTGCATGGATAATTTAAGGAGAAATTCTGTCTTGGTCACTAAAGGGAGTTAAAGGGTTAACAAAAAATACTCATTACCTCATATGGCAATTGGGTATCCAAATCTGAAAAAAGAGAAGCTTGAAATGCCTGACAAGAAGGAAAACAAACAAACAAAATCATGTAGGTTAGTTCTGTCTTCTGAAGGCTGAGTTGCTCAAAACAGAATTTACATGTACTGGTAAATTGTTACTTCACTTGAGCAATAAAGACTCATCTAAAATGTGTCCACCAATATACCTGTAAAGCGTCAGACCTTACCTGATACAGGATAAATTTATCATCCAATTCACAAGAAAGTTCACAAAGAACTGAAGGTGCACATTCCTCAACAAATCCATAATCAAGGAATCGGATCTTGCACTAAAAAAAGCAAAAAACAAAATGTATGTTCAATATATTGCTAAGTAACTTTCAAAGTAAGCTTTAAATTGGAAAATGACTCAAGTCACCATGATTCAACAGATTTTCAATTCAATTGCCACAAGCAGTCCACTCCAAGCATTTAAAGACACCAGAACCATTTGGATTATCTGATCTCCCAAAGGGAAATTGTGATTAGTAATGAGTCATGTAATAGTTTCATAGATTGGTCACCAGTAAATCAAAATCCAATTTAGTCACTAATTTTTTTGCTCTACTCGCTGAGGTGACTTAAAACAGCTGCAGCTTGGTGTGTGGACTGTGCAACATGGGCATGAATTTGAGCTGGCCATGCCAGCAAATTAACATAACATCAATAAGATGCAGTGCTGTAATTCAAGTCTATTGGACATCATCATGTAAAGTATATCTACCGAGTAACATTCATCACAATCCAACAGTGACACATTGTGTATTCCTTGAGAAGAAGAAAACTGTGCAAAAATATATAGATATGTATTGCATAATAATATAGCATCCTGCAAATTGGCAATTTTTTTGTGTTTTGAAAGAATAAATTGTTACTGCATGAGATGACCAAAACTTCTGCACAGAACTTATTTGTGTGATTTTTGTTCAAGAGGCAGAGCATTTCCTACTTTGGAAAGGTAGCATGTTCAACTTTTATCATTTATTTTGGTGAACTGATACTAACTGTAGACATTACAAACATGTTTTAGTAAATTCTAGTAAAGGGTACCATACTTCATATGAGGATGTTCACAACAAAAATAAAATGGAAAAAAGGCCAACTCTCCTGGGGTTTTTCCATTGGACTGTAGATGGTAAATTTGTAAATAATTTTATAATGGCAGATTTTTTTCTTTTGGAACTTACTTTTGCAGATCAAGTAAAACCATAAAACTGCACCAAACACTAAAACCCACAAACATTTCCTGGCACATGGCACCTATCATATGGCCAATCTTAAGCACTCAGTTGTGAGATAAACAAAGGCTATAGATAAAATCTTGGGAACTACATATGTACAGTGTACAATATGTCCACATTTGAACGATATATAGTGTAATACTCTAACCTTTTCAGGGGAAGATACACTTTCAACCCTGGTACGACAGAACTCCTTGTTTTGCCTGTTCAGAGCTGCACAGAATAAACCTTCTTTTGGTACTACAGGGTTTCCAAACCCATGCTTTTTAAAATAATTACTAGAAGAAAAACAAAAGCTCCTTATCATGAATAATACTAGCAAAGACCAATGCTCCTTAAATACACAAAACAAAATATATTTTATAGAGTATCTACATGTACATGTGACTGTGGAAAACTGAAACAGTATTCTAGTTTTTCCTCTTATTGCTCCAGTTGACAATTGTGAGTATGAGGACATTATATTTCTCAACCATAATGATTTTCTCCAGATATCCCTTCCAGTTTGATTGAGAATCTAGGGCTGAAATTAAAGCCAAGAAAGAGGCTACTTAAGAACCATCTAGTAGAATTAGGAGTTCAGGAAATAACTCTTTACATCTAAACAGTGTTCAAGGTACTGGCAAGGAGAATATGTTTAACAGTCAAGTGCTTCTTCAGTTGTGATCATTTCCTTTGCTCTCATGACCTTGTTGCTTGATTCAGGATTAACATTGTTAGGAGAAATTAGATGTTAGTCACTCTTGGCAGTCAAAGGGTAAAAGAAGTAGTCATACTTTATGGCCATTGCAGTCTCCTTCCTCGTTTCCATTGCTGGTTCTCCTGTCTTGGAAATCCAAAAAGATCCATTTCTGGCCAATGATCCAATTATGCTGACTGGGAAAACATCTTTGCCTTCAAAAAATTAATAACATATATAAAATTATTCCACTATCTCTTGATTAAGTCTCTCTCTCAGATAATTTGAAAATAATAAAACATTGAAGAGTCAACTGCACCTTCCATCTCCTTACTGAGTTGAACTTTAGGTTCTTCAGGCACATCTTGTTTTTCACTGCCAAGTGGTGTCTCCTGTGCAGGGATAGGAGTTGGCTGATGGGGAGAATTTGACTCAGAGCTGTCTGGTTGCTCCTTAGGCACTGCTGCATCAGCATCAGCATCAGCATCAGCACCTGCTACAGCTTGATTAAGTTTGCTGCTACTTTCATCTTGAGTACTACACTGTATTAGCATGCTGGACACCTAAAAAATTAAAATATACAAATTTGGACAAAAATAGACTTGATAATGCACTCCCAAGTGAATAACACCACAGAGCAAAAAATAAATAAACCTAAGCACTACAGCAGATAGAGGCTTGTTATTAAGGATCAGACAGTTTATCAAATGTACATATCCTGCATACATAAAGCACTAGACAATTACATCAAAGGTATTGGACAGTTACACAATGGTTCAATGATCAGGAATAAATTACAAAGTAACACTAATGAAATATAGAGACAATAAAAACTGTCAATGTTGTGGGTGGGAAGGAAACAAAATTTTCTTAAAAAGCTAGAAATAAACTTATTACTTGCTTGCTTGATTACTAACAACACGCACAGATACCTAATTGGTAATGTACTAAAATAATTTTGCAAATAAAATACATGATGCATAGCCATTGGCTCCATCTAAGTCCTATGACTTATATGCTGAACAAATTGCTCAATCTTAAGGAAAAGACCTAATATATGTAACCTGCCTGTATCCAGTCTACAGTCTGTAGCCTATTCAAATTTATTTAATAGAGATTAATATTCTCAATAAAAGCTATCTACTACTACAACCTATCAGCTCTCAAATTTATTTGCAAGCTTTTCTTCCCAGCCAAAAATACATTCACCAGATCATTTTTGACTTAACGTAATTACATGCTTAACAAAGATCTACCTTAACATGTATGTTCAATTGCAAATCTTGCAGAGAGTGCAATCAAAATGAAAGTTGTATTACCTTTGCCAGATACTGAAAGGCTTTTTCAACTGCTCCTGCACAACCTCTTATTTCAGCAACTCTCTTTTTGGTAGCTGATTGCATTTGCACCAACTGGCTTAAGGTTTCCTGCGAGCAAAATTAATTACAGTCCAGAGTCACCTAAATTTTTCATTAATCTAAGGAAGCCATAAACCATAAGTACATATCTTTTCAAAACCTGGGAGGAAGATAAATACTAATAATTTATGCTAATCACAGCTTGTTTGTAAAAATGGGGGTCGCTGAGGTAGTTTTTGAGTGAGATCATTGAGGATTTTTCTGTTTCTGTTTGTAAACAATAATATATTAGACAAACTACCTAGTTGTAAAACAAGTCTTGCGTCACTGGCAGTCACTCTGTTAAGAGACAAATAAAATTATACCTTCTCTTCTTCTTCTGTGTACTTTAACCTTGTAAGCACACTCTGAAGCAATTCATTCTCCACCTCAAGTAACCTGGTTGAAAAATGTCATGAAACAGAAAAGTTCTCCATCTTTGCAAGACAAAAAAATGCTTTTCTCTAAAAAAAAAAAATGATTCAAACCTAAGAGATGTTCGCAAGAATAAAAGTAAACCCTTCTTGACAACATACATGAAAAATCGTTTCATATCAATATACAAATGGCATGTTTACTTTTCAAAAAAGAAATTCCAGTATTTCATGAATATATCAAAATAATCAAAACAAGATTTTCTATACACTGCTGAGCCTACAGCCTTTGTGGGGACAAAATAATATACATACTTTTCGATGTCTTGGACATCTTGTGACAATCGTCGTTGTTTCCGCTAAGGAAGAATTATACCCATCTTTCATTTCTTTGATTGTAATAGTATATGCAAAGCCTATTACCATGCTTTTTATGTACATGCAGCCTCAAACTTAATTCAGGAAAAGTGATACCTTACCCTAACTCATTCTGTTGTTTTTAAAACCAGAACTTAGCTTAGAATTACTTCCTCTTTATGTAAGTGAACAACCAAACAAAATGTCCGGCCATCCAAGGAGTTGACCAGACAAAACCTACATTTTATTTCTAGCCCTGCATGGGGATTGGCAAAGTGACCACTTAATACAAGTCAACCTGCAAATTACTTGCATGATGTTCGTGCCTAACAATTGTCCTATAGGTCCAAAAAAGACAGATATTCTGTAATGCATTGAGGACTTTAAACTCAAAGTACTAAAATTGATTCATGGAGATTAAATTGGAATATGTTTCAGCTGAGAGATTACTCTTAATTTTATTCAAGTGGTCCAGCTTTAAGTGTCAGCTCAATACAAGTAGAAGACAATACAAACATGCCATTGGGACTCAGTCAAGGGTAACCACAACCACTTAACCCTTTACCCCCTAACATCAGTATCCATACTCTCCATACTATTCACTAAACATTTCCTGAGGTGCTGACAAAGAGAATTTGTATAATAATCAAGAGCTGCTTCAGTTGGTGATCATTTCCTCTATTCTCATGACGTTAAAGTTTGATTCAAGGGTGATATTGTAAAAAGAAATTAGATGCTAGACACTCCTAGGGGTTAAAGGGTTAATAGAGGTGAAAATGTCAGAACTTAGCAAAAAAAAATGCTTAATGCCAAGGAACTTGACACAGGTTTGACTGTATTACTGTAATAAAAATTTAGATGCCTTACCATGACTTCTATCTGTTCATATCTGTGTGCCTTGAAAACATCCAGGCTGTGCACTTGAATATTACATTGAGGACACAGACAGATAATACTCTCTGTAAGATAAAAAACACATATTTCACACACATGTAGCTATCATTAAAACAGTGTCTCCTGATTTCACATTTATCCTGAAACAGAGGTACAAAATATATAGTAACACTAGTACATCTACTAAATCCATGTTGGCACTAGCTAATCCTGCTTCAATCAGTCTTTCAATTGTTTACAACCTAAAGGACCAGGTTTAACTGGATTAAATATATGCTTAGATGGCAAAACTCATATCCCAGAACAGCAACCAGACAGATTCTGGATATTACTTTTCTAAATTTTTTCTGTCAACAGCCATTCAGATTTAAAAACCATGAGATAAGTGTTGACATGAGCATGTGTCTCAAAAGAATTACAAAATCCAGAGGGTAGTTTGGCTGTAAAACAAGATCATACATCTACATTTGAAGCTGAAACCTTGTCAGTTAAAAGATGATGCAAAACGTTGAGCGACATGTAACAAAAAGTTATTCTGTTGACCTTATTCACTCGCATTCAGGTACAGTGTCTTGGTAAGTTACCCAGAAGGCTTACATCTTTCATGCATATTGGTTCAAGTCTAAATTCTTTACTAATGTTGAAGCTTAATTTCTAAGCGCGAAGATGTTAAGTAATAAGTCTAACTTTTTATTGTCAATATGTTTTTCTTTGTTTATTTGTTTTTTTAATCCCTCTTTAACATTGTACTCGTTATTACTACTGTCATTATAATCTTTACCGGGCGCAAATCACGTGCCATGTGTTTTCTGCACCATAACATATTTACACACTTTGTTTGCACTGATACAGGTACATAGAACTCTAGTGGAAAACAAATGAGCTTACAGAAAGGAATTTTAGGAGACGAACTTACCATATTTGCAATCAAAACACTTGAAATCCGCTCGCTTCTCGGGATGATTGTAGCACACAGGCGCAATAAGCGACAAGCTCGCAGCGGCCATGGCCGCCAACTTCTCTCAAGAAGTTAGTTTATGTGATCTTCTTCAGCGTTTTCTCAAGAAATAAAACTTAACTGCTGACACGAAAACAACTTGCATACGAGAATTCGCGCTAGTCTCACTGACAACTCAGTGAGAACCGACTGGTGATTACTTTCTCTTGTTACGCATGCTTCGAAGTCTCGCGCGTTTTTCTGCCCGAAGATGACGATTCTTCGCCTAAATCTTCGGAAAAGTCTTCGCCAACGTTAAAGATTCCCGACGCGACGAATACTCGTTGCTATGGTGGTTCAGGTGCTACCATGTCCGCTGGTCGAGAGGAACGAGTGCTCGTCAGTATTGATATCGACCAGTAATGGTCAATAATGCACAATTATCGTTTATAAAAAAGAAAGCTTAATTATGCCGTCGATACCTCGACAAATTCTTCTCAATGTTCTCAGCAAGTGAAGACTACACAGCAGCGAGACGATGACAATTTTTTCTGCTTGATTACTGGTTGTCACTATTGAGTTTCTTCAGTAGATTTGCATATTTGTATCTCGCGTGTTTCCACATGGGTGACGCAGAACAAAACAATTGTTTAAACCGAACAATGGCTCACCATAAAAACCTATAATCGAAAATAGAAGAGACCACCTTTTAGGCTTAAAAATTTGCATTCAAATAGGTAGTATTTATGTCATTGATCTGATAAGCTCGCGCGGTCTTCTGGGTCTATTGTTAATTAAGTCATACGGATAATTGAGTATAATGTATTTATTAGTCAATTGTCGATCCAGTTGAATCTGAGTGCTTTAGTAGATTATGCCTTTGTAAGATCACGCTTTAAACGGCGGTGAATCTCGACAGCGCACTAAAATGAGAGGAACTAGGAAATCTACGCTTATGACTCCGGATCCATACCACATACCGGGGTAGGTAATATCTGGCAGGATTTTATAATCTGTCGCGCGCTGTGCAAATCGCTTACTCCTCGCAAATACTTTTAAATAGAATACGAACTTCATTTTTGCCAGCGAGAATTTATGTCTTTATAATTGCTTTGCTTACGCAGTTATTGCGGTTATTGCCCACAATTCAAGTACCAAATTGGCGAAACTTTCGGAAGAACAACCTCTCAGCTTTTGACAACATCTAGTGTGGCTAGCTCCGGCAGGCCTGTACTGTCCGACATAACTCCACATCCCCGACCGCCGAAGGACAACAGGAGATCTTTGATAGCGGCGCGTTGCAAAAATCTCGGCGATCAGAAATTGTGCGATGAAATGGTGCCAAACTACACAGGTAAGAAGTAGAAGCGATGTTTTTTCTGCCTTTAAGCTCTAACACATATCCTAGAGCTATGTTTTGAGGCGATTATCTAATCGTATATTATAATCCTTGGTACACAAACGAGTGTCAAAGAAGTTTATTGCGGTTTGCTTTGCTAAAGAAATGAAAACAAATCGCTGCTTGTGGAGGGATTCGTGAAAAGATGTTGAAATATAGTGATGTTTCATGACAAAATCTAGAACAACTTTTATCCCTTCCGCTATAAACGATAGAAAATAAATTGAAAGAATTTAAAGGTGACAGGCACGAACACAAGAGTAGCGAGGGCTTTATTCTCGTTTAGAGAAGGAGCAGAAACACCAGAAAGGCCGACAATGTTCAATTAAAAAACTTGAACCGTGTCTGAGCCTAGAAAAAGTGGTTTGAAATCATTTAATTCATTTTCGAGAGATATGGAAGAATCAGACGTCCCAGTGTTTTCCTGTCTTGTGACTCTTGTGGTGAATAGTTTACAGCTGTAACCAAGGGAGCAGACGAGTCTCGATTTCATGAGCTTTAAAATTTATGTAATGTATGCGTTGCCCATCAGATAACTGAATATTGCGTTACCTTTGTTTGTCATATTATGATATGCCGCTGGAACATACACCAGTTTAGGCATAACAGAATCAACATCGGATAAAATTGCTTTTTTGGTAATCAACGTACTCGTGAAAGGAACAAAAAAAAAAAAAAAATATATATATATATATATATATATATATATATTATGAGAGGAAAAAAGGACCCAACTACATTTCCCGACAAGCCTGTTTCGTGAATCGCTTCACTCTTCAGGGGTTTAATGAAAGAATATTCATGTGACTATCGTGTATATACTAGGAAAATTTACATAATACGCGGTAAACTTAAAAACTTTAAAGTTCAGCTGTTGCGTAGCAACGCTTTGTTTCTGTGTCGGCATGAAGATACGGGTTTCCTTATATTGGTGATGGAAAAAGGAATGGAAATATTATACTACTTTAAGCCATTCGGTAAAAAAAATTATAATAGCCAGGTTGATCATTTCTTATTCCTTTTGGCGGTCTCATCTTGGTACCATTTCTTTGACCTTTTTCTTATTGTGTATTAATATTTCAGATTGTTTAGCAGGCTTAAACAATTTCTTAGCTTAAGAAGATTTTTTTTAGCTGTTAAAAAGTTACTTCAGCAAAAAAATTCAGGTGTATCTGTAATGATATTTGCCCACTAAAAAGGGCAGATATTCCGGCTTTAGTATTGCTCTTAGTCAAACAAATAACTGAATTTGACCGAAGGTTTTAACCTTCCCGTGTGTATCAGAACTTGGTAAAATAGGCTTGTAATGAAGTGTGTCGGTGCAAGGTACCTTAAGAACTTTCAGTTTCCTCAATCCTCTCTTTTATCGAGAAGGAGTTAAGGACTCCAGCCAGAGACACGAGACTACCGCGGTAAATGATTCGAGTATATTTAACAACAATTCACCGAAGTGAAGGTGGCTAGTGGTGGACAGTTACCAAGCTGCAAAGCGGCGAGGTAAATACTCATTGCCAGACGACTCTGAGGTGAATAGTTGTTTTAGTATATACTAGAATAGTGTGATAACGTAGCAAAAAAAAGTTGATTTTAATTCGTTTAGTCCTGCGACAATTAAATTATTTTCGAGCATAAATCCCGTGTGCGCTGCTTGAAGGTGAATAGCAAAGAATATTCGGATCTTAAATCGCCAATCAGAGCGCGCCTTCCGCAATATTTACTCCTAATTGTGTACTAAATGAGTAAATGAAGCGGTGCCGCAAATTTCTAGCAAACGCACGCGGATGACGTGACTTGATATGCCACCGAGAGTTTTTTCATATGACAAAAAAGTAAGTTGCAGATGGAGGTACGTTTGGGCCCCGTACCCACCCCACAAGGGACACAGGGAAATGTTTTCGTCGTCCCTTCACCACAATCCCCCGATGCGCGAAACAAAAACCCCACCCATTTGGACATGCTCAAAGCCATCACAGCATTTACCTTTCCCCCTTTTTTTGATCATCAGGTTATATACCAAAAGGAGAGCATTACTTTGGAAAACCTTACGCAGACACGTGTTTAAGCGCCATTGCAAGTTTCCAGGAAGACCAAGTGAAAAATAATCGTAAGATCCGCGACCTAAGAACAATCGCAGAGTTGCAAAAAGGCAAAGACGTTCCCAAAGAAATGCTATCCAGTGATACCTTGATTACAACCAAGTACAAGACTCCGCTCAAGTCAATAACTATTCGACCTAAGGCGTATTATTCCCCATTCGCCTTACAACATTCACTTTCCCCATTCATAATGAGTAACGACGACCCGAAGAAGTTCCTCATGTCGGGATACACGGGATTCGTCCCGCGAGCTAGGGGTGAAATGGGAATGGGCTATCCCTTGTTGACGAATAAAGCGCTGTGTGATTTCACGGTTGAAAGTGACAGGCTGAAGCGTGTCAAGGAGCTGCCGATAACTGTCGATCGACCCGAGATCAAAATCGTCGACACCAAGCCGATTTACATCCGAGGTTCGGGACAGGTCCCTCATTACACTGGACACGTGCCAGGTACAGTATCCATTCTCTACCAGTTTCCCTGGAAATAGGATTTCTTAAGGCGTTTGTAACGCCCGACAACTTCAAGTCGTACAGAACAACACTCTATTATATCCTGCTGCTTAACGAACAAGTATGTTGATATCTAAAACCCATTACTAGAAGCAAAATTACATTGGAATCGCTAAAGCTCGTTAGATCTGCACATCAAAGAAGATCGCGCATATGAAAATGAAGCAGCAAAACAAAAAGCAAATTGGCGCCGGCCGAAACTTCATAAATGTCCAAAAGTTTGAAAAAACTCTGAAAAAACTTTGAACTCTTTCCTAACAAAGCTCTCTTCATCAGTGAGAGATCTGGGTGCGAGATTAACGACAGATTTCCCTTATTCTCGTAGCTCGCTGGAAGAGTTTACTGAACGTGTCACTTTTATTTGGTTTTCAGGTGAGAAGTTCCGTTATGGGATGACATTTGGGTACAGCACCCAGAACGCAGCGCCTATGAAAGCCCTGACCGCCTAAAGACTTAACTTTCTGTGTTTATGCAATATGTGTATGAAAGAATTTTGGTTAAAACTGAAGAAGTAATGAAGATAGTACCAAATATCTTATCGACAGCCGTGCAAGTTTAATTCAAAACATTTATTTTGTATTCACGCAAAGATCGCTATCATTTGGATAATCTGTTCATGTCAATAAAAATTTTAATAAGGAAAGGCTGGCAGTAAGATTCTGGGATATTGGTCTTGAAAGAAATTGTTTCCCTTCTTCCGATGCAAGTTTAATTTAAAACATTTATTTTGTATTCACGCAAAGATCGCTATCATTTGGATAATGTGTTAATGTCAATAAAAATTTTAATAAGGAAAGGCTGGCAGTAAGATTCTGGGATATTGGTCTTGAAAGAAATTGTTTCCCTTCTTCCGATGCTGGAAGAGGAAGAGAAAAGATTCCTTTTAGCCTCGAGCGCCGTCGAGTGCCCAAAGAACTTCGTGTCACTTATGTACAGGCCAGTTTCCTTATAAAGTATCAAATAAAACACTCTGATTACAGGAAGCCGACTCCCTTTCGACAGATGGAATTAGACTCAAACTCATGCTAAAGTGAATCTGATTTATATTACCAATTTAAAGAAAACCTAAAATGAATGAGAACCAAATGTTCATATAGAGCGGAGGTTTATCAACGTCCAGTTCCATTTTGGCATTTGACACCAATCAAGGGTAACTCATTATATGATCTAAACACCTTACGAGGCCTTTGTGAGTCGGCATTTGAGAGACTCTCAATGAGAGTGCCGTAAGTTCATGAGGCCTTTTTGAGAAATAGTCTCAAATTAGTCCTGATCTCGAGCTCTATAAATTTTCATTTACGTGTCAAAAATAATACAAGATTTCGTTGGTTTCCAGTACTTCACTTCACTACCTGAGAAACGTCTCTCTCCCACCCCATCAAATTCTTTACTGAGATCAACCGCGACTTGGCTACCAGCGTTTTCTCGCACTTCTGGCACTTGAATTGTTTCACTTGAAGTTCCCAATTTGTTCTGATTCGCTGACAGAAAGACTGTTTTGGTTTAACGGACCACAATAGAAAAGCACTATTTGCACCATTAATGTAAACCATGGTAGTTTTTGGCTTCGTGTACCTACAGTTTTTCCAACGTTCGATGTTGCGCGCGATGGTGTATCATGAAACAGGCATTCGAGTTCCCTGTTCGGATGAAATTGAAAAATATCGCAGAAGAAATAGAAAATTTAATGTGATGTTAGTAAGAATTCGCAGAAACAACTTTCTTACCCGCATTCATCGAATAGACAACACTTACAGCTTGAAAATGATCTTTATTTCACAACAAGTAAATTTATTACAGCCAAAAGCAAGGAATGATAAAGAGATGTTTGTTTTTTATGGTTAAATTAAAATGTCTTATTAAAAAAATTTGTGAAGAAGACCTTTCGTGTGAGCATGGAGACATGGCTTGGAATCTGCTTGCAGCCTTTACCTGTCGCATATTTAATCATTTCTTGATTCACCTTAGTCAGCATTGTCATCAAATCGTCCTTGTGTGAATTTTCCCGTAGAACTCTCATTAATGTGAAGATGAACCAGGAGCCGAGCGTTTCACTGGGTGGTGCACCTGCTGTGGGCATGGTGAACCTCCTGTATGACTTGTAACCCGTGGTGGTAGAGTAACTAATCAAAAAATCTGCATCAGAAGGAAGCGTCAGAGACGTTCTCTCAGAAGAAAAGCTATCAGCAACAACATCGTCGTCTTGCCAACTGGCTGCATGCTGATACCCTCTATCGTCGACTATTCCTCTGCATGCTTGAAGGAAGAATAGTTTAGGTTTTCCCGCTAGCTGTGGACATGATTCATCGCTACCACGGAATTTAGAGGTTATTTCGTCAACTGGAATGGTTTCACCGTTCTTGCACTTGATTCCTCTGTCATCGCCGTGACTCATGATAATGCATATGAGGCCGTCATGTTTACCTGTGCAATGAAATTATTCGATTAGAACTGAATTTGTAACAGCTCTTCTTATTATTTACATACCAGACCTTACAAAACAGGAGCCCGAATTAAAAAATAACTTTGTCATTTGCTCTCGTCCTTTGAGGGCGGAGAGAGCATGTGCTGTAGGGCTTCGACGGCGATAAGTGACTGAACCTCGTACAATGATCTCCTTTCCATTTTAAGGAGAGCATGTTGCGTGACAAGACCAAACAAAGGCAATGGAGTAGACGCTCATCGGATCAGCTTCCATCGCTGAGAGCAAAACAGGTAGAAATTCGGTGTAAAGCCACTTACCTGATTCAATACTTTTTCGAGTTTCGTCAAAAGCTGCCATCATCTCTTTTTTTTCCAGATCGTAACGCTTCTCCACAGACTCGAAACCAGCTTCTCGTAAAAACGTTTCCACGTTTTCAAGATCGTGTTCGGCTCCATTCCTTGGTACTGGGTCTTCTTTAAAGTTCACGTTGTTTATCACTAACACATACGGATTCTGCACCCCTTCGTAGACTTGATCCTTTGGCAGGTCTTTTACACGATTGACGTTTCGACTCGTATCTGCCATTTGAAGAGTGGGTGTCAACTGAATCGAATCATCGGCATCATACGCCTTGCCTGTAAACACGAAAACGAACGCGTTAATATTTGTTTAATTTTCTGTGAATAATGCAAAGTTTACTCAGTTTGATTTCACAAAGCCTTTTCAAAAGGACTTGAAAATGGAAGGCCAGTAACAGTTGAAGGTGAGAACAACGCTGCTCAAAGTTAGGACGAGAACATCCTGACAAAGAGCAATCTTTTTGTGCGTTTTCTCACATTGAGACTGAACACATCAATTAATGTTTACTTCGGTCAGTTGGTTCAACATCACGGATTGAGATGTCAGTACGTATTTTGCACGGTTAGTTGAAAGAGGCATTGGATCTTATGACTAAAAAAAATTAAGGACCGCTTCATAATGCATCTTGATTGGAATCCAGTCTGAAACTTACCGTGACGGGCGATTTCCTCCCGGAGATCTTCGCTCACACCGTTACCTAAATAGTTAAACAAAACGTTGCCCATTGTTCTGTAGTTTGATTCACCTACAAATTCTGACTATCCAGCGTGAAATCTTGTCCTTAAAAAGCCAAGCCTTCTTACGCAAATCCAAAGATGAAAGGTTTGCAGACCGGAAATCCAAAGCGCATTCTTCCTTTTTGGGTTAGCTACTATTGATAAAAATTGTGTTATTGAATAATTTACGTCAGTGTTGCCGAAGCATCTGAATATAACTACGTATTATAGTTTAAAACCATCGTAAGTTTCATTTGAAATCCTTTTTCTTCACAACATTGAATGGTTTTTTTTTATTAAAATGCTTTATGTTACCCTGAATAATGATAATCTCGGGCGTTCTTGACGGTCATTTGGCGAGTCCATTTGTTTGATTCTCCCACACATTATTGTGTGTTATTCCTAACAAATACACGTGGCTCACATGGCTAGACAGAATTTCGGTTTCAACTTAAACGAGTACCACGTCAGTGCAATGTCTTTGTAATCCTTTCATTTGGTTCGGAATTCCTTTAAATATCTCTGGAATATCCACCCACGGTTTTAAAACAACTAGATCAACTGTTGAAGGCGGTAGTCGCCTACGAGAAAACGATCAAATAAAACACCATTCGAGTCCCAAAAAAAAAATGGATAATTATTAACAAAGATGCAAAATTAGAATACTGTTCATTTTGTATCAGGAAGTACGAAGGTCGCTGTCACGCAACGACAAAAAATTTGTTCAAAGCCATTTCTGGTAGTACCAAAACCGTAACAACACTGATACGTAATATTTGAGTCCAAGAATACACTTTAAGGCGCTGCTAAATATTTCATCTATGAATAACTATTTTAAAATAGCTTCTGTAACTCGTCGCTCGACGAGAATGAATGCTATTTATAAAAATCCGAATCAAAGAGTCAAAAAGTATTTTAGGTCCTTGATTTGTATGGATTTTTACGTATATTTATTTACTGCAAATTGTAAAACATTTATCCACTGAAGCACGTACATGGTACAGGTGTAAACAGTTCCAAAAATGTGTTAGAAACACACAGGATGTTTCTCAAGACGGGTTGGCTTCAAAACGCATAACACCGAGGTATTTTTCGAAAACAAAAACTAGGCCCTGATCTTTAAATTTTCGAGACCAAGAGAGCGAGACCAGCAAACCGCTGTGATACTCGAAGAAAATGTGAGACCCCTTACTTCCGGGAAACCTTTCTTTACCTATCTTAACACGTATCTCACCTTTGCAGTCGGTCGTTTTTCCTACTCCTTACGTGTCTGGTGTGTCGCCTGTATTCTCATTAGCATTACGAAAGAGGTAATCGTACGGGGCCGAGTAAAATTAAGGATTAATATCACGAGTGTTTTCAGAAGTTGCATAAATTGTATTGCCCTCGTCAAAGTTCTCAATTTCAAGTAATTGTGTCCTGGGAAATTACCAAAATTAATGAAGCTGTCTCAGCCGATCAGCATCTAAAATTTCCCCTGTATGTTATGTAATGGTAAAAGGAATGAGTAATACTCAGTAATATTCGTGATGAACAAATCCGACGACCAGGCAGCGGTCCCATTTATTCCCCAATTTAGGAGTCTGTACTAAATCATAACGCATTCTTTCGAAGTCGTGAAAATTGCTTATTGGATATTCGCGATTTGATTCATGATATACAAAGTGAAATTTTATTCCATTTCAGACTCTTTGGTGTCCTCGCAAAGAGTCATCATCATCTCTTTCAAATTAGCACGATCATGTCATCGCTGTCGACTGAGTTTTGAAATTTTTTACCAGCATATTTCATCCATCTGAATCTCAAGAACGTGCTGCAGTGTACATGGTTCATTTTCAAAGGAAAAGCTCTTTTTCCTTGTTTGCATTCAAATGAATCAAAACGGGCAATTTTCAATTACAATCAGTTTGAAATCCCTCGCCTTCTGTTGATTAATTAGCACCAAAACAGTGTGCTTCTTTAAAGCGAGCTAATCAGGTGCAGAACCGAACCCACTCCCTTATCCGTCACACACGCATTCCCTCTCTCGAAACCTGTGGCCTCGCGCTTTTACGTTTGTTTAGGTTGGCGGCCACTGCAATGATGTCTTTTGAACTTATTCCCTCAGGGGGGAACCTCATTCTGAATATTGTAAATGATGACGAGGGAGAAGGTGCTACAGCCTCTGCTATGGCATTCGCTTAAGGTTAGACGTTCCAGTCTTCTCGGATAAGGACGATAAACCGCAGGCCCCCTCTCCTGCATCTTCACTGCATTGGTTGAGAGGGGACGTTAAAGAATCCACGCTCTGATTGAAAAGAGTAGGGAACGTAGGTCTGGCTAAGTTTCCAAAAGTTCTAAAATTAGGGGCACCTGCAAAATTTCCTTTCAAAAATTGTAAACTGCTTAATGCAGTCTGGCCATAGTCCCCCGCAGGGTGTTGTAAAGCGTATTAGAGGGTAGTTATATGAAGGTTGCGCTGCATGAATGCATCACCATCATAATCATTAAACTAACATTATTCATTTTCACTCTTTATTTCAGCCCCATTGAGGTAAAAGAAAAAATACTGTGCGAGAGCTTTGGTATTTTTTTACGCAAATGCAACAACCTGGCGAGAATTTTTCCCCGGTAAAGATAACCAATAAAATGCGTTGAGTGATTCCGAAAGTTATCCCACAAACCGCTGTTCACAAATGATGAGTGATTCATGTTACATTTTTTGGTAATTTTTTCAGTTTAGAGAATTAGACATCCCTTTTGTCTCTTTCCCATATTCTGAGATGTTTCTTTCATCATCAAGCGGCGTCAAGCGACGAACAAGCTAAAAGCGGATTTATGAATTGAGTGCAATGTGCTCCACTGCAAATCATCTCGCGTCACTTCTCGAGGGCGCAATCAATTGACACTTCGTAACAGCGGTGGCACGAATTCCTTCGTTATATACTTCACTCGTCTGACAGAAGTGCAAACGGGTTTGAGGACATGACTTCGCTTTCCTCCCCCTCCTGTTCGTCATCGCCATCACTACTCGGTCTCTCATCTCTCTTGCTCCAGCCCGGAGGGGCAAGCAGATGCAATGACAGCTCGTCCACCTCGTTTTCCTGAAGTCGCAGTCGTTTGCTTTCTGAGTGTCTGTCTTGTAGAAGGGCAATCTCTTCCGTTTCAGGATGTTGCTGCCATTCATCTGTTGAGCCATAGCAAGATTCAAGATTCAGGCGTAACACCAAAAGCGATGGTGACAACATAAGCTATTCTGAACATGGAAGAGATCTTGGGCAGTAGTGAAAATAAGGCCTGAAAAAAATTCAGGCCTGCACGGGATTTGAACCCGTGACCTCTGTGATACCGGTGCAGTGCTCTACCAACCAAGTTAACAAGTCAACTGGAAGCTGGTCACTATGTTAGCTCGTAATAAACCCGTGAAGTGATGAATAATTGACTGTGTTAATATGAAAATCACATATGTGAACTGCGGGTTAAGAAATGAATATGACAGCATTCTTCACAGTAATGAACACTACTTGAGCAGTGGGATCAATATCAGTATCTAGGCAACTGCTCACCTACCCCTCCCCTAACTCAACAACAGTCAATTGACAACAAG